ATCATCATCATCAACATCATCATCATCATCATTATTTAACCATCATTGTTGTTATCATCATCAGCAGTATTAAAAAAAGTGGTATTAAATTTTTTCTTAAAATTTTTTATTTAAATTAGTTTTATAATTTATAAATACAGGTTTTCTATGCAACCCAGTGTTAGAATACCAAAACTGGTATCAAATGCTTTTGGATTTTAATATTACTTGTGCTAATACCACTAATTTAAAAGAAAAACTATGGAAAGATGAATGGAATCCCAGCATTATAGAGAAAAGCAGTGTGTGTGTTGGTTATCTAAACAGATCAAGTTTTGTAAACTGCTCTGCTGTTAGTCCCTCTGGAATAAAACGATTTTGTAAATGTGATGTACTGTGTAAGTTTGATTTTATTAAACTAGGTTAGACCTAAAAATAGATAAGAGATATGTATTCATTAATGATCTTAAAAATACTTTATTATTACTGTTTTTTACTTTTCTTAGTTTATTTTGAGTTTTTTAAAATCTTGTTTTTATTGAAAAGAGTTTTAAGTGTTTAGTCTATGTTCATTCCAATGAATCCAACTTGACAATTTTATTCTGCACCTTTTGACTAATTTTTCTGAATTTTCATATATTGTCATATATATATTTTTCCTGCCACCTGCAGGATTTTAATTTTTGCAGTTTTGTATATCCAACTGGTTTCTTAAATAGAATAAAATGTTAATTTCTGACCTGTGAGTAATCATGCTTAAATAGTCAGGTCTTTTTTTAAAAAAATGATAGGGAAAATATTATTAGCTTATTTTTATAAATTAGCTTTAATCAGACGTTTTATCATATCTATATCTAACTGACTAAGATAAATGGTTATTTTCAACAGATATTTTTTTTTTAAGAATAATCATTTGAAATAATTTAATTAATGCAAGAGTGTATATAAATGCAACCAACTATAATATTAGAGTTTTTAGAAAAAAAATATTCTAACAAGTATGTAATCTCTGGCTTGGTTGGAAAGTGGGTTCGATCACAATTTATTCTTGACCAGGCAAATCATATTTAGTTGCAACAATTTGGCCTCAGCATAATAGATGTTTTGAGAACATTTAAATTTGTGTATGTTTCTATGTATGTCCAAAAATTTTATACACGCTAAAACAATTGAATTGTAGGTTTTTTTAAAAGCTTTTTTTTTAAAAGACTTTTTGTTGTTATTTTAAGAAATATAAAGCAACAACTTTTTTAATAAAATTTAAAAAATAATAAATATATTTTTCCAGAACAAACAAATATTTAAATTGTAAATAAACATAAATAAAATTTAAAAAATAATAAATATCAAAATTGATAAAAATAATGTTCAAATGCAGGAACTTACAGGCAACTGAACATAAACATACATAAATGCAAAATGAATTATAAGTGGATGAACACTGCACCAGAGATTTGAACTAAACACAAACATACATTTATATAAAGCGACTTTTTTTTTTTATTTTTTTATTTTACTTCACCTCCTCAAGGCCGAGAAGGCCACTACAAACGAGGAGGCTACTTATTTTGTGGCTATAACCCTCTCTCAACTCTATAACTCCGAAACACGAACCTTGACGAACAAGGCCGCTGCGCGGAGAAACAAGTTGAGCGCGGTATTACCAGGGACGTGGTTGGGATCGAACTCGGAATCACTCGTTTATGAAGCGAGCGCTCTACCACTACACCACTACCGCCCACTACACCACTACCGTATACTGGTGAACCAGCACCGGGCCAGCGGTCCATACAGAACAAAAATATAAATATATAAAAAAGCCTACTCACTAAATACATCAGCGGTATTGTGAAGTTTTGCTTTCTCTTTCTAAATATATTTTACTTTTTAAGTTAAACCATTAAAGTATGTTTTCTGATAATTTGATGCACAAAAAAAAAACATGCTTCTAATTTGCAAACAACAAAATAAAATCATAATTTACTTAGAATGTAATATGCCTTTTATTTATTAACTTATAATATATATTAAAGTAAAATAAACCAATGAATTTAAGTAAAATATAAAGTTATTAAATATATACATAGTGTACAGTTTGGATACTGATCATTATAGACCACTGTTTCAGGGGTCTGGATTTTTTTTAAACATTTTAAAGACTAAAAAAAAAGCTCGTTATAATATTTTTTAGCAACACAAAGATTTAATTTATTTAAGAAGAATTGTTTTAAATATTTTAAACATATATTATATGTTGTAAACTACACAAAGCATGATGGTTATAAAAATATAATTACTTTTTTATTTATTATGTAATTCAACTACCGTTAGTTTTATTAGAATCTTGTTGAAATAAAACATAAATACTTAAATAAAGAACTATATTAAACACTTTGATAAATTAAGAACGTTTGTTTTTTTACTAAACAATCATTAATGGTAAATTGTTACTTTTTATGTAACAAATTGTTGCTTAATTTTATAAAAAAATTATTTAAGAATGATTTTTTAAAGATTATAAAAGAAAATTATAAAAATTATGAAAGTTTAGAAATATTTTATTTTAAACGTAATTTATTTTGTTTTAGTTAAGTTTTTTTCTTTCAGTAAGAATTCGTAGCTTTTTTTAGTTAATTTTTTTAGTAGTTGTCTTCCGTCAAGTTTTTTTTTGTGCTTTTTGAAATGTTCTGAAAATATCTAAAAAACAGTGGTCATGATGTGACAACTAAATTTTTATGCATGGCCATGTATAGAATGCAATCGTACCTCTTTCCCGACCAAGCCTGTAATCTAAATTATTAGGTGTATAATTCTTTAAATCATCTGTTTCTTAATAGATTAGTTGGTAGGTCTTAAATTAATATTAACCATAATATTTCATCTTTATTCTTATAACATATAGTTTATAACATGTAGTTGGACCTAAGATGAAATGTAGTTAGACCTCCTCTAGCAACTAAACTTGAGCTCTGCCACATTGCTGTAAAGTTGTTTCTCTTTTTCTTTTCTAAAAGTTCTACCATATTTTTCTTCAAAATGTAAAAAAAAGTCCAAATATTAGTTTTAATTAACTGCTCAATATTAATTCTGCCATTTAAAGAAAAATATTCTTGCCTCTTTATTTCAAGAGAGACTTATCGATCATACTAAGTTATTTCCACTTTATGCATTTAAACCTTTTTGCAAATTATTTCTTCCCATCAAAACTTACAATTGGTGGATATTACATACTAATTTAGATGTTGCTGAGTGTGAGTTCTAATTTGTAACTTCGGTCTGCATATCTTTTTGAAAAAGTTACATTTTTCTTAATCAGTAAGTGATGATATTATACTGTAGGGTTTAGTATTAGTAATTGTTTTGGAAGATGTGTCAAAATATTTTCAAAGTCTATTGTGATCAAATGTCTAATAAAAATTAAAAGTTTAGTAGTTTAAAAAAATTTATTTTAGTCTAACTTATTTTGAGATTTTTTTTAAATTGAAAAGTGGCTACAAAATATCCAATTTGTTAATATAAATTTGTTAAAAACTAGATTGAAATAGACCAGTTAATATTTTTATTTATTTTTTAAATCAATTTTGGTTTAGTTTTAATATATATTAGGAGTATTACAAAGTAGGAAAATAGTTAACACTAGTAAATGTTGTGGGTTCGAGTGGTTCATGGGTTGTCTTTTTTGTTTTCAATTTATATTTTTTAGAAACTTTATTTTTCGGTGGTATTTCCCATTTTTGTTTTTTCGATTTATTGTTACAAGTTGTTTTCTTTCTTTTCCTCTCCTCTATTTCTCTTTTTTCTGGTGTGTCAGTAACAATACATGCTTTACCCTTATGAGAAGGTTTATTGTTTATCCTTGGACCAGCTTTTGGTAATAGCATTATATCCAAAGGAGACACAAATTTCAGGTTTGTACAATCAAATTTCGGCAGTGTTGAAAGAAGTGAGCCCTGAGACTATGTAGACGGGTTATTATTTTCTAATGTTAGTGATCTATCAGTCATGCTTGATGGCAAAAAGTCTTCTTCCAAAAATACATCAGGATTCAGTGGATAGAGGCCACAAACTTTAAAACCATTTATTATATTGGATGGTGTAAACGCTTTTGTGTATGCCATTCCAGCTAGTTCTGCAATGTGATAAATAGTAATAGGCTTTCATGCGTTTTCTGATGATATCATAAAATTGGTTACAGCGTTATTGTAATGTGTTTTAAATGGACTAAAGATGGTTTTATCTAACGGCTGCATCTTATGTGTAGTATGCAGGTGAAATGTCACCAAATGAATGCCATTTTCTTTGGCTTTGCCAATAGCATCAATAGAAATGTAACTCACGTGATTGTCCATTAATAAATTTACCTTTTATTTTTTGTTTCTTGCTGCGCGGCATGATGAACAAAATCTAGAATGAAAATAAAAAAATACTAAAGATAACTTATAACTATAACTTTAATTATTTATTATTATTGGCATAAATTGAATTAAAACTACTATTTCCTATTAATTACTGCACAACGAGTCACAATTATATTATTTATTACACTACGATTCATAAATGAATTATTTATTACATAAAAACACAAATAATTCCTGATGATACAGAAGTTCGGCACTCTGTTGTACCATGGAAGTATAAAACAAATGGAAGTTCAACCGCATTGAAATTTTTCGGGACTATGCTTGTAATCTTTTGTTTCGTAAACAATAAGAAAACACATCAAGACTGTACATAAATGCCTAATCTTTATATGTTGACGCAAATAGGTGTGTTTATAATAATTTAAAAATAGAGTATTTTGAAGGTTCGCCAATAATATTCAAGAAAAACATTTAAAATGGCGCAACGAAACGGCAAACAACAACTTTTTTTATAAACTTCATATTAAATGAATGGAGTATTACAAAAATGAATGGAGTTATAATATACAGCTAATGAAACTTTAAACTTAAGTTATTTAGAAAACAATTTTTTTGATTTTTTAAAAATTGTTTTAGTTGTCTTTTTAATCAAATGTCGTGTTATGACTTGAAGTAAGAAAAGAAGCTTAAACTAATATATGCTTTTAAAATCAAGTGATGCTATTTAATTAGCGAGTTTTAATAAACCTTTTGCTGAATAATTGCAATTACTAAATGTTAAAACTTTGCAGCATATTCCTAGAATAATTCATTTTTTGATGTTTTTTTTAATAAAAATCATTTCAGTGAATTTTGTTATTTTTTGTCCAGTGAAACTTGTTTTTTTTTGTCGGTTACAAGCATACTCCCAAGATGACTTGAATTTGCTTTGATGTTTGTGGCTCGATGAACTTCCATCTGTTTTATACTTCCATGGTTGTACCTAATGACATGTCCCTAGGTACAACTGGGCGCCAAATTGACAAAAAATGCTGACTAAAAATTTTAGGTTAGGATTTGAGAGATATTATTAACGCAATATTCAAGCAAACAAAATAATGTATTCGTATAAACTAAGAAATATTTCGTTAAATAGATTTTAAGGGCGAAATTAAAAAAGAAAAATGTTAACAAACTTACGTAAAAGGGTTGTAAAATCAATTTTTAATCACCACTTTGCAATGCTTCACATCAACACGATGACACTTTGGCTGTCAACTGATCTCAAGAGGTGGAGTGTTGCCTCATGCAAATATTATGCTTTCATACAAAATTCTCAAAATATTTGAGTGTCCCTAGGTACATGGCGTCCCTAGGTGAACCAGTCTCCCCATAACCATACTATGGGGAGAACAAGTCTCCCCATAACCTACCTATAACCAAATACCATTTTATTTACCAGAACCAGTTTAGTTACCAGTACCAGTTTAGTTAACAGTTTTATTTCAATTAGATTGAACATTTTAATGAATGTAAACACTATCAGCTAAAAAATTAGAAAATGTGTTGTAGTTTTTGTTGATTTTTAAAATCTTTGATTGATTTATAAAATCTTTAAATATATATATATTTTTTATTATTGTTAAGTAAAGACTTTTGTTAAACACAAAATTGATGTAGTATTTTTTGTTTGTACTTTTTTAATAAAAATGTTTCTTTATCGAATAAAAAAAAGTTAAAACTACATTAATTTAAAATTCTTTTATATCTCATTAATTAAATTTAATTAAATTAAAAATTTTACTTAATTTAAATAAAAGGAAATTCAATCTAACTTCAACTTTAAAATTCAGTTCGATTTTATTGTTTAAATAAAAAATATTATCTGTTTTGTTTTTTATAGTCCATATTTTGATATAGTTTTGTGAATTTAGTTTTGAACAATTTCCAGTGATCAAAAAATCATTGGTTCAAGGAATACAACGATACCTTAATTACAGTTATTTTTTAAACAATTTACCATTTACTTAAACCATTTACTTGGACTATAAAGTTAAAAAATAGCAAGTTTAATTAAAGTTTTACAAAATCAGGTTAGATGTCACTTATGTATAATATGTATAAGATATGTTATATATTGTATCCAAAACCTCATATGCTATTATATTGTATCCAAAACCTGAAGAACTGCTATATAAAAGAACCGAAATTATATCAAAGTTTATGCTAAAAAACAAATTAAAGTGCCGCCACGAAAGTAAAATCTTATTAAAAAATTAAAGCCCCCTACAAACTTAACTAACAACTAACAATAACTATATTATTCTACTTTATTTATCTTTAGGCTAACTAATAAATTACTCACATACACAGCTGTTGCAATATATTTTATAATATTATTTATATTTTTATATCAGTTTTTAATTTTATATTTTTTATTATATAAATAATGAACATTATCACATAAACAAATATTTTAAACATTAAAACGTATAACTATTTCATAGCTATCTAAAAACAAATTAATAATAACATATTAATTTAACAAAACAAATTAATAGTAACATTAACCTAACTACTAAATAATTTCCTGTAACGATCTAAAATACAAATATAAATGTAATGTCTACTACTAAATGTAGCAAAATTAAATTTTTACTACTTGCCTAAAGATTTTGGTAACACATAAAACTCAGAGTTGCAATATTATATTATAAACATTAGCATTTTGCTAATTCATGGCACTGTGTATATATATATATATATATATATATTTAGTATATATGTTACTGTTATAAATATATATATATATATATATATATATATATATATATATATATATATATATATATATATATATATATTTACACTTAGTACAAAAACACCTAATTTCAACTAATCAACATGGTTTTGTGCACAAAAAATCATGCACAACTAATTTAATTGAAACAATGGACTTTATTACCTATTCATTAGCTAAAGGAAATGTGGTTGATGTAGTATTCATGGATTTTGCCAAAGCCTTCGATGTTGTTCTGCATAGATATTTAATTCACAAGTTGTCGAATTATGGAATTATAGGTCACACTTTAAAGTGGCTTGAATCTTTTTTAAAAAATTGCCAACAAAATGTGGTAATGGCAGAATTTTAATCAGAATGGAAAGAGGTTCTGAGTGGTGTACCACAAGGATCCGTTCTAGGTCCTATTTTATTTATAATATATATTAATGATATCCCAGAACTATTAAAAAATGTAAATAAATTGTATGCTGACAAAACTAAACTATTAGCAAAAATAAATAATATCAACGATATAAATGTATTACAAAATGACATAAATAAAATCGCAAAATGGTCCCAAACATGGCTTCTTTACTTGAATGAGTAAAAATGCAAAGTAATGCATCTCGGCAAATCAAACAAACATCATAATTATACAATTTCATCAATAGCAAATTAAATAACTAGTATATGCAGTACAAACGATGAAAAGGATTTAGGTGTTATTTTATCTAGTAAGACGAAATATCATAGTCAAGTTATGTATGCATCAAATAAAGCAAGTAAAATACTTGGAATGTTAAGCAGGACTTTCACCTATATGGGTAGCAAACTTCTCAAAACATTGTTTACAGCGTTTGTGAGACCTCATTTGGAATTCGCAATACCGGCGTGGAACCCTTACCAAAAAAATGACATAATTCTAATTGAACAAGTACAACACCGAGCAACTTGTTTGATTCCATCACTCAGAAAATTGAATTACAAAAAAAGATTAAAAATTATGGGTATTCAATCTCTTGTTGACCGTAGAGTTCGAGGTGACCTAATACAATGTTTTAAAATAATAAATGGCTTCGATATTGTAAATTGGTGTAACGTAAGTTCGCTCTCTTATCCAAGAATTTTTAATCAAAGTCGAACGCGAGGTCATAACTTTAAGCTAGTTAGAGAGTTAGTTAAAAACAATAAACAGCGTCATCAGTTTTTTAAAAATTGTGTGGTGAAAACTTGGAATAAATTGCCTAAAAACATAATCAGTGCCACAACTGTAAATAGTTTCAAAGCAAGATTAGATAAATTTTTTTGAATCAGAAAACCTTGAAGATGATTAACGATGAAATTGGCTTTATTCCCATTTAATTAACTTAATTCAAAATAATTTGTAAATTTTTATGTAGGCCGCCACAACCAGAATTGGTTACACAAGCTATAGCTTGTTGCGGTACCATAAATAATAATAATAATAATAATAATAATAATAGTAATAATAATAATATATATATAGTAATAATATATATATAATAATAATATATATATAATAATAATATAATAATAATATATATATATATATATATATATATATATATATATATATATATATATATATATATATATATATATATATATATATATATATATATATATATATATATATATATATATATATATATATATATAGAGAGAGAGAGAGAGAGAGAGAGAGAGAGAGAGAGAGAGAGAGATGTGACACGTTTTTTTGGTTCTTGTTTTTTTGTTTTTTTTTAATTTTTTAATTTTAATTGAAATTAAGTTCAGTATAGGGCTTTTTTTAAATATGGGCATACTAGCAATATATATTTTTTTGATATAACAAACAAATAATGTAAGACTTAATTACTACATAATATACAAATGCTTAATTAAATAATCTTGATAGATTGCTTATTTTTTTGAGCATTCGAAGTCTGATATTAAATTTGCATGGTATTATGCATTAATATATTTACATTATTAAAATTAAAATGGTAACTTTTTTCTAGAATAAGAATAGTTTTTATATATAATGAGGGTATCACAGTTGTTAGTACAACAAAGCAAAAAATAAACATTTTCATACAGTATGCCTAGATATATAACTAACTTAAAGCTAATTTAAATTTTTTATAAAAAAATTATGTTAAATTGGTGTTTATACATCTAATTGTGTCTTTAATGGCCAAATACTAAAATTATACTAGAGTATAGGAAAACTAGTCCAAAATTTATGTCAAAAAAAAAACTAAAAAATTGTTAAAAAAAGCTATACAACACCAATAAAACGCCAAAAAAAACAAAAAAAAACGCCAAAGGAAAAAAAACGCGTTTTTTTTGCAACTCTCTCTCTCTCTCTTTCTCTCTCTCTTTCTCTCTCTCTCTCTCTCTCTCTCTACATATATATATATATATATATATATATATATATATATATATATATATATATATATATATATATATATATATATATATATATATATATATATATATATATATATATATATATATATATATATATATATATATATATATATATATATATATATATATATATATATATATATATGTATAAAAGTTAAGATAAACACTTACAATGCCTTTGCATTTGCACAGCAGCTTTTATTTACTAGTTTCCTGTTTTGGATTTTAAAAATGGGAGAGTTTCAAATAATAAAATGAAAGAGCAACTTCCTTAATTGTAGTGGTCTTCTCTAAAGTCTTAAAAAGGTAAATTTAATAAAAATGATAATAACAATAAATAAAAAATAAAATTATTAAAAAAAACAAGATTAATAAAAGAAAATAGGGAATGAATGAAAAAACTTTTTCCAATGTTCTTTTAAACAAAAGAATTTTTTTTTATAAGAATTCTTCATGTTGTTAACTAATAGTATAATTATTTAAAAAAAAACAACTTTACACAAAATCAATATTAGAACATTTAAATTTTTTTAGTTTAAAATATTGTTTTTATAATATTGTAATTGATAGACATATTTTTTATTTAGCTGACATTGGCTTTGGAGGATGGAGTAGTTGGTCCAACTGTTCTAATCCCTGCAATATTGGGCAAAAAAAAAGGTTTCGACAATGTCTGATTACTAGCAGTTGTTTTGGTAAAAGCTATGAAACTGAATTTTGCAATACTTTACCTTGTCCAAGTATGTTGTATATTAAAATTTACTTTTTATTTGTTTCTTATGTTTTACTTTAGTACATTATATCAAGGGATTTCAGAAAAAAACATCTTTGTCAACTGACAAAGATATTTTTTTTTGAAATATATATATAACTATATTAGAATTAAATATTGGTGATTATTTGTCAGAGAACAAGCTGTAACCAGCACTGTCAATAAATACTTAAACAAAAAGTATCTGTTGAACTACCAACAGTTAGTTCGGCAGAATGCCAACTGAGTTCCAATGGTTGACAATACAATAAATTTTAATAGTAATTGTATCAAATTGTTAGTAAATTATAATATAAACACAGAAAAAACTTTTATTGTGATTTTTGTGTAAAGTATCTCAGCAGTTGATGAACATTAAATGTTGAAGAATGTTTGCAGATAGTTGTAGTAACTTTATGGCTGCGTTTTCATTTTCACTATTAGTTTGCAGTTTTATTAAAGTTTCAAAAACAATTTTTGTTTAATTGTTTTGTTTAAGCAATTTTTATGTTGTTATGTAGCAAAGCAAGTCTGTATGTATCTATCATATATACATATATTCATAAATTGTATGTATGTATACATACATACATTGTATGCATGTTTAAATTTAGGCTGATAATAAAAAAATAAATTATATATCTATATATATATATATATATATATATATATATATATATATATATATATATATATATATATATATATATATATATATATATATATATATATATATATATATATATATATATATATATATATATATATATATATATATATATATATATATATATATATATATATGTATATATATATATATATGTATATATATATATATATATATATATATATATATATATATATTATATATATATATATATATATATATATATATATATAACTTTGAAATGTTTTTAAAATGTTTTGTTCTTCATCTTTGGTTATTGTTGCATTAAAATTCTAAATAAGTGCAACACCACAACCAGCACTGTTATTGACACAGGCAATTCTTTTAACAAATTTCAAATAACTATTCTTCAACAGGAATATTGAGAAAACTATCATCAACACAAGCAGTGCTTTTTCTTCACAAGATAAATTCAAAAAAAATAGAACAATAGTTTCTAGCCCTTGACTTAAATACAATAAATGATGCACCATCATATTCAGACCTGTTTTTTTCAAGACATCATCATCGTAGTTGTATAACCTTTATACAAGTGAAATGTCATTAAATAGTTCATCAGCTGCTGTTCAGCATGAGAACCAAGATCGGAGATATACATTTACTACAAATTAAATCGCTGAATTTCACAAGCTATTTGTTTTACTAGAGTTTCGTTGTCATAAATTTACAACTCAATCTTTATGGTATAATTAGCTTCCACCATCTATTGTGTTCTTTGAAAGGCACTAGGTTTTTTTTTTCACCATCTTGTGGATGACCAGATTGAAACTGCTCAACAATGAACTCCTTCAATTTATCACTTGCAAGATCAAAGGTTTTGAGGTTTTACAAACCACTTTGGTTTTACAAACCACTTTGAAAAAGGTTTTACAAACCACTTTGGTTAGTGGTGTAGCAAGGTATAGTATTTCTTTCTGAACCTTTTTAAAATTGAAATGTCAGGCCCAGTTGATGAGTCAAGATTATTTCCAAATGAATCAGACAGCAGCACCTCAAACATGTGATGGTGACATGCCATCCACAGTCGCAACCGATTGCTGCTTCCAGACTGCCAGTATTTGAAGCAGTTGTTTCAAAGCACATGCCTATAACTAATGAATCACAATGCAATAACTACAAAAGCACCAGGATTGCCTCCATTGGTGACTTTCCTACAGACACGGCATAAAGGGGTAGCCTAAGGTAGCAACTGCTACTCCTGCCCTTTTGGCTGGTGTGGCAAGGGTAGCATGAATGTCCCCTTTCTAGGAAGTAGGTATGGTAAATTTTTATGCTTTAAAAGCATTTCATTATCCAACATTTATATTTCATTTCATTATCCAGCAATATTATAAAGATAAAACAGTTTAAAATTGATTTAAACAAAACATTAAAAAATATTTTATTGAAGGAAAAAAAAAGGCCTAGAATCAGTAATCAAAAGTGGTGCAACTAAGAATTAACTCAGATAAATAAACTGGCCTTGAAGAAATTTTTTAAATCGCAATAACATTTAGAATTAATATGTTTCCGAAAATCAATTCGAAATTAGATAAAATATGTTATATTAAATTTTATTCTTCTTGCTATCGACATGTTACAACATTTTTTCAAGGGCCAAGAACTGAATCATGTTACAGCTTTTTTTTGGGCCAAGAACTGAATCCTGGGGGATTTCATTTTTATCCATTCTGAGTATACACCACTAATATTGATACTCTGCAGCAGATCTCTTTAGTAACACTCTATCGGAAATCTACTCCATAAGCTTTTAGTTTTAGAAGTAGGAAATGGTGCTAGAACTGTTTTAAAAGTTTTCAATATATAAAGATATACATTATCTATATTTTTTAATATCCAAGCATGTGTATATATATTTACTATAGGGTATATAAATAACAAATTGTTACTTGTTTTTCCTACCTTTATAGCATACAGCATTTTCAGAAAAAAGAGAAAAAATCAAAGAATAATTAAAGAAAGGATTGCTGCCACATGCCTAACCTTCAGTCAATGTAGCAACACTCCTTTGCGTAGCAGGCTATAAAATAGTTAATGTATGTACTGAAGCCCCTGGAAGCAATCTATTTCAGTGTGACCTCAGAAGTGTTATCTAAACACTCATAGTTGGTGCCTTGAAACCCACATTCTTTTAACCAAAAAGCAGGAACCTTAAACATTGAAATAAAATACTATTTTTTTTTCTATGAACTTATAAAAAGGCATTAATATTAATTTGGAATTGGTTGGAAAGTTAGGTTTTAAAAAAATTGGATTGGTTTGACCCTGAAAAAATGGACGAAATGATCTAATTTTAGTTAATTTTATGGATCAATTGACATGCTTCTTTTTCTCTCAAACGTTTTGTTACAAATCTTATCAAATTCTTGTTTATAAAGATTAATTCAAGCCAAAATTTAATTTTAAAAATAGTTTTTAATATAAGCACCTCTTAAATTTTTTATTTACATAAAGTTTGATTTTCATATAGGCGCTGCAAAACTTTATTGTAACAATTTTATTTTGCTCAATCTCAAGTAGCTGGGATTGTTAAGGTAAAAAATAAATTTTCAGCTAAAAAAAATATATAATGACATTGTTAAGATCAACAATGATAAATCAATCAAGAAAAAGTATTCTTTAAAAACCGTTTGTAAAACTGAACAATTTTATTTTTCTTGTTTTTGTTGAAAAATCAAATAACTATTTTCCAAGTTATGCTTTGTAAGCAACATTCTTTTTTGCAAAACTCCGTTGTTCTTACTTTTTCGAACTCCATGAACTGATCCCTGCTTTGCTGAACAGCCAACATATCTTGTCTGTGAACATCTTCATTGTGAAGAAAATTAACAAACTCTGACACAAGCTTAATTGCCCATTCAGAGCATTTGTTGACTAAATATAGTCAGCTAACAAATTCAAAGAATTTGTAGAAGAAGTTTTAAATTTTTTGACAAAGCCTCATAAAGATGAAGAACAGTTCAGCCAAGGTTTATAATTGTCTTTACTTAAATTTAACAGACTGAAAATAAACCATGAGTTCCTACCAACCATGACAAGCTAGGTGGTTTTCTCCTGGGTGAAGTCTAGATCTTTTAGAAGGATTGGATTTTCAGGTTTCTTATAGTGTGTAGGAACAGGTTGTGAGAAAAGAACTTTTGCAACTTTTTCTCTCTCATCATCTTTGAATTCTTTACTTGCGAGACATAATGGAATAAAGTTTTGATCCAAATACCATTCATGTCTCTCCATTGATTTCAATATTCTTTTGATTCCCTCTAGTACATCATTAGCTCATGCATCATAAGATTTTACCCAATTTTTATACTGGACCATCTGCCAGTATGCTTCTATGTCTTTAAAAGGTGCAGAGGAAACTAAGAAATAAACTCTTCCATCGTACTAATTTCTTTTTGCAAACTAGCCGTCAATTAGGTAGGGCAACTGATTACTTAAAACATGAATTTTAAGATAATATATAGACTTTGCTGTAAAATGTGCATGGGAAACTGATTTCGGAGCATAAACGTTAAAGCTTATATCTGGATGTGAGTGTATATTCTACTAGTTTTTTATAATCATCTCTTGGAAACACTAAATCGGCAAGTACATATTTGCAAAAATGAACAGTTTCTTCAATCTGTTTTTCTAGATACGCTCCTTTAACTGCAACTTTGTCAAACTTGTTGTACTTTGATTTATCCATAGATTTTTTTTATTTTTTACTTCACCTCCTCAAGGCCGAGAAGGCCACTACAGACAAGGAGGCTACGTAAAAGGCTAAAAAAGGCTAAGTAAAAAAAATAAATAAAAAAAAGATTCCTTTGTTGCATTCCAATTGGCTCGGAAAACTTTAAAGATCAGATTTTCAAGAGCATAAGTTTTACCGATGTAAACTTTTTAAAAAATGTTTACAAAGAAGCTTGTAATCATGTCTTCAACATGCAATCTGTAATATTATTGAATTGTGTGTTTGACAGAACTTAACGTTTGTGCCAGAAATTTTCCAGTTGTGTCAAAGCGCAGAAATTTTCCAGTTGTGTCAAAGCGCAGAAATTTTCCAGTTGTGTCAAAGCGCAGACTCTTTATATAAGTTCTTAGCTTATATTCATCTAAAATGTTTACTAAAGTACCACGATGAGATTTTCCAGTACCATTGTTCCATTGGCAGAATGCTCAGAAGTTTTAAATCATCAATATTTACAAGCACAGCAAAATTATCTCTTTTTATTTCGTACTGTTAGTAATAACCTGAAAATTTTTTCCATCAAAGTATGTGGTTATTGGAAATTTACTTTGACTTACAGCTTTTATGATATCTC